GGGGGAAACAAAAAGGGCTACTAAAGGTTTTTTTGGGTTAGGTTTGGGGGGGGGATTTTGCTCGCGGGGGCCAACCAAGGATTCCCCCATTCCCACCCAAAGGTTTTTTGGGAAAAACGGGGAAATACCCCCCTTACCCCCCCTTTTTGTCCATGTTGTTTTGCCCTTCCCCCCCCCCCCAATACAGCGCCCCCCCCCAAATTGGCCCCCCCCTTTTGGGCCCCCCGGGTGGGGCCCAAAAAAATCCTTGAAAAAAAGGGGAACCCTTTCCCCCCGGGCCCCCCCCCCCTTTCCCTTGTTTTCCCCCCCCCCCCCAAATTTCGGTACAAACAGTTCCCCCCCCCCATGTGGCCTTGGGGGCGGGATCCAAAAAAGGGGGGGCAGTTCTTTTAGAAATCCCTATTTTTAGGGGGGGCCCCCCCCCCCCCCCCCCAAACGCATGACCTACCTCTCAATGCCGGCGTAAGCCTCGGGAGTTCCGAGGATGAGCAGAGACAGAACGGAGGCGTACATCGGGGCGCAGTGAGGCAGCTGCTGGGGGCCACCGCCGAAGCCTCCGTTGATGGTGTCCTGCCCAACACACACAAAAAAAAAAAGATCGCAACACATGTGACTGCCATTTTTGAGGTCTGTATCCGACACTCGGGGTGTGAAATCATGTGACAGATATGGATTGGCTTTCCGACAGCAGGAGCTGCTGTGAGCCCGGAGGCGGACTCTTGGGCGTCGCAACGACCCCCCCCCGCCTTCGGCATTTTCGCTGAAAAACGGAACAGCATCACCAGGATATCTGCCGCCACGATAGGGGGGTCGTCTCCGCCTACAGCAACAGCCAGCTGTAATAGTTAGCGGTGCGTTGTAACGATACCTTGCATGGCGGGCCGGGATTTACGGCCGTGTTTTTATCAAGTTCGGGTGAAAGCTCGCGTTCTTTGCTTGCTGCTTGCCCCTGCGGAACCGGATAGTCTTCCGCTACACAGGCGTGCCACTTCAGCGTGCGGGCCTTACTTAACCGGGCAGCACAGCAGAAGCAGCTTGCGCTCTCGGGTTCCCCTAACATAAAAAACAACAAAAACCCTCGCCAAAAGGATATATCTCGATGCGTCCGCTGTTGGCCAGTTTTTCGGCAGCAGAGAGGCGACCGTTATGCGGACGGTTGCAGTATTTTTGTAGAAGCAGCAGCAACGCGTGCAACGACCAAAGCTACACACGACAGCGCGCAACAAGATTCTGTGAAGGTTCTGTTCACCTGGCAGGACAACACCGTGCGCAGGATCCTTTGAGTCATTTCCTGCTGCGGGAAGTGGTCGAGCAGGTCCAGCGAGTGGAGGATCCAGTAGACCATCCACGGCCGGCTAGCGTCCAAGGATATGAACCTGCCCAAAACAACAACGACAACGGCAACGACGACATGCACGGAAACAACAATTACGTTTAAAAACAAGGAACACAGCGAAGCAACCACCAACAAGAGCGAGCACAAGAACGAAAAACAACGGCAAGTCAGAACTACCCCTACCCCTAACAAAAAGCTGAGTCTCTGCAGGAGAAACGTCTCCAAAACACAGGTTGGTCATCGTTGTAACGGCTATGAATTCATTGCAAAATTTTCGCCGGACTCTTGTCGGCGGATAGAGACGAATTTCATTGTGTTTTTGCAAGAAAAAAGAAAAAAAAACAAAAGCGTATCCGTCTCTGCCGAAAGGCGCTCCAATAATCGTGTACGAACGGCGCGCACACATAATGTACACCACCAAGGGAAACAGTCAAAACCGTGCTACAACCGAGGAGACCACGCTCACCCGGGGCCGAGACCACACAATCCCCGCATCAGGTACACCTCGTGCTTGGTCCGCATCAGCACCGCCTGCACGTGATCGCAGACAGCGACGACAACGACATAGATGACAACAAGTCCGTGGGATGATGCAACGATCGAGTTGGTTACCGCCCCGCCGAAAACATCGGCGGCTGCACCTGTTACTATTGCCGATTTTTCTGGAAGATGGACGGAAGCCTGCATCGTCCGGTGCTGCCCTGCCAACGGGTACGTCAAAACCGTACGCCTAGAATGCCGTTCTCCCAAGAACAATTATATAGTGCTCTTCTAACCCAACCTGCGTGTGGCACAGTCGGTCGCGGCCATTAGCTGAGGTAAAACAACACACAAATGTAGCCTCCTACGTAGTTTGTCAAGACAGGGCTTCCCCGGAACTTGCCCCAAAGATTAGAACACTGCAAGGAAATTTTCGCACACATTCGTGTCGCTGTTCCTATTCTGTGCGTCGCGTCTAGAAAACGCGGACGATCGCGAAGGCTTTCAACGTGCGTGACGCCGCTAAAATAGCAGCCGCGCCTAAACCAAGATATTGGCTGTACGATCGATGACGTCGCAAAGTAGCAGCAGCGCCTCGAACACGAGAACGGCTACCACGATCGATGCGCCCTCACGACGTGTCCACACGAGCAACGAAATTCCTGTTGCTGCCACGTTGAGTGGTTGGCACCTACGACGTCCAAAAGACAGCTGAAACTCCTGCATAAAACAAAAAGAGCGCGTGTTTGAGTCTGATAGGCACTGGGGAATCGAATTCAACAGAGGAACCGTCGCTTGCAATATTTTCTTTACATCCCTGAGGATAAAGCTGGAATCCCGGGACCAACACACGCTGTGACGTACGCCACTTCCACACCCCTTGCCAACGAAACTAAACTTGTTTGGAACTCAGGGCCGAGACAGAGGCCTTCAGCACCACGTGAGACGGTCTATTTTCTTCCAAACGTGTACGGATAATCACGAAACGAACGTCTTTCAGTAAATCGATGGAGAGCTCCGAACATAAAATATACATATACAAGGCTTTCGGCGGCTTACGCCGCCACGCTGAGAGAAGCGTACCGCAAGACGCATGTTTCTTGGCGTCTGGTAAACGATGGTATGCGGTGGCTGTGAGATTCCCAGCAATTTGTTCCCGCAGTATGCAGATGTGAGAAATGATGTACCACATAGGGCGAAGTCACACACTGAACGTGCGTTGTGAGCAGTAGTGAGCAGAAACACGTACTTAAGCATACGGCACGACACGGCTTAACAACTAAGTCACACGGTGCACACTAAGGCAACGGTAAATTAAAGCACGGTCCACGCAACGACACGACACGGCGTAGTCAACAACACGGGCGCCACCCAACGCAAACCACACGAAACGGCATAGTCAACCACGCAAACTTCATGACAACGGCAAAGTCACACACTACATACGACACGACATGGCATAGTCATCCTGACAACACGACCACGGAAGAGTCACACACTAACGGCAGCACACATACGCACAACACGCGACGAGCCGCAAACCCAGAGACTTTGAAACCAGCAACTATCCTCGTGGGATGCATAGTGACGCATACGACACGACATGGCATAGTCATCCTGACAGCATGACCACGGAAAAGTCACACACTAACGGCAGCGCACAACGACGATCTGCTAACCCATCGCACGGACTATCTATGCCTTTTTGGCCATTAACCAGTCCTTGCTTAAAGTTAAGGTTCCTTGTTATCATTACCATACAGTTCAGCTTTAGGTTCAAGACATGAGGCGGAACGCCTGCAACGTCAATTGAGTTGAGGTCAGCAGCCATGACGAAGTCGAAGGCATCGGCATTGCAACTGTCAGGGTCGACAGTGTCGCAACTGTTCACGGTACAGAGATCACCAGACAGCAGGTGAAGGATATGTTCATTGATTGTGTCTATGGTGTCATTGGTAGAGGACAGTATTGCTCTCGACTTGAACGTGCTGGGGTCTGCATGTAGAATATCGGGGTAGACGAAGTTGATCAATTCTTCGAATGATTCCGTATTCTCAATGACAAACGGATCAGGTGGCATTGCTGGGATGTCATGAATGTATGCTAGGGCTCCGATACCAATATCGCGTACAAAGGCGGCGTAGGGAGCATCCTCGCGATCACGTTGGGAAATGGTCAGGCGCATTCTATGGACATACATACGGCCACAGTGGGCTTGAAATGATGGAAGCATCAACTGTTTCTGCCTGTCCGAAAACACGACGACGGGTCCTATTTGACGCATGTCGCCACTGAGCAAAACAGTTTTGCCGCCCATTAGCAGAGTGTTCCCCATGAGGTCCTGTAGCGTAAGGTCAAGCGTCTCGACGGAATATCGGTGGCTCATCGGAATTTCGTCCCAAACGATGAGATCACATTTCCGCAAAACTTCTGCTCGTTGCGATTCCGCGGAGATATTGCACATTGCGCCGGCGACATTTTGAACCGTTGTGTTGGGTGACGTTGTGCACGACGTGGTCGTAAACTAAAAGCTGTTCGTTGGTAAGGTTAGGTAGGTGCTGAGCAGCGAAAACACGCATCTGTTCGACGTCGAACATATGTTTAAACCGTAGGTACTCCGTGTCTAAATGAATGACTGTTGGAAGTCCGGCGATGGCGTTAGTACGTCCATGGTGCTGCAATCCAAGGTCGATTTCCCGAAGCGCTGCGTTGCTCGCTTCGATGGAGGTCATGGACATACGTAAGTCTTGGGTGAAGTCTCGTTTAAAGTGCTCCCATAGAATTCGAGCAGGTGCACCGTCAAGAATAAGGGTAACGAATAGTTGGCGCAGCTGCTTACCTGTATTGAATATTACAGCCTCTTCCAAACAAACCTTGTACTCTTCGTCATGTTTGACGATGCCCATGGCTCTAGCAGCGTCTTGGAATGTTTCATGAACGATTTCGGTGTGAGTCCTGAGTAATTCAAACGATCTTGCCGGTTTGTGGTGCAGAGTTGGCGCAGATAGAAGACGTCCCCTTTATCTGGTGTAATAGCCGTAACACGCGCTACGTGCTTGTCTGAAGTGCGAGGTGTAACATAATAGCCGAATCTGTTCCTGTTTTCCGTGACTTTCGATTTTTGTTGACAATGTACTTCTCGTTGTAGTCCAGGTACGTGAGGGAATCGAAGTCGGACTCGGTAGGTCTTCCAAAGTACAGCATGAGGTCGGATTTGGTCTGTTCGGCTTCCGACTTCTGTTCGTCCCTTGTAAGAGTTTGATCGACAATGACGTGTTGTTCATCGGGAAGGTGCAAGCGAAGGGACGTGACGGAAGGGTGGCGCTCCATGATGTGGAAACCAAGTAATCGCCACGCAGCCTCTGCCGCTGACACGTATCTTGCCGATCGGTAAGCTTCAATTTCGTCACCACCACAAACAATCTTGGCCTTGATAAAGTCGGCGCCTTTCGTGATGTACTTGTAAATATACTTGACTATGGCGTTGGCGGTGCAGACGTCAAAACACATGTGACAGTTGTATTTGGAAAGGAGCCAAATGTTGTACGGTGCTATCCATTGATTGGTGGCGAATGATTCGATAAATTTGCCGTTCACTCTGTGTGTGTAGGGAAATATCTCTCCGGTATCTCTACGACGGTACTCGGCTCTACCGGTCTTGCCCACAGCGGCTACGTCACGCCATGGTTGGGGATAGTTTTTGCCGCACATTTTCGATCTTCCTTCATGCACGGTGATGTGGGGTTGTGACTGCCACACTGTTTGTGTACCATGAGGTTCAGCACTTGATCTCTTGATCTACCATTGTTGAGCTCTGGCGGCGGCACTTCCGCCCAACACCATTCGTCCATTTCTCCCATCTGATCGGGCAAAGGTCCCTCAAAGCGCACTACTAAATGCATATGGGGCATGCCCCTCTTCTGGAACTCTACGCAGCTCATCTCAAAGTCAATCGGTCCAAAAATCTTGCCACTCCTGAGGTCTTTCATGAGTTCAGCCATTTTAATTTTAATTTTGAAGACACGGTCGCATAAGTCTGGCCTGTCGTACGCTGTTTGACCGGGGTAACAGATTAGCTTGAATTAATTGCTTCCCAGTTACCATTGCATGTCATGGTGAGCATGGCACTAGGGCGTCCCTTACGTGATACAATAGCTAAGGCGTTGGTTTTGTGTTTGCTTTCATTTTGGCTGGATGCCCGTGAAAGGTTTTCGGGAGCGTTTTACCTATCTGAGCTTCCTGGGGCGCGTCCTCTAAAGTTTTGTACCTGGGGGTAACAGATTAGCTTGAATTAATTGCTTCCCAGTTACCATTGCATGTCATGGTGAGCATGGCACTAGGGCGTCCCTTACGTGATACAATAGCTAAGGCGTCGGTTTTGTGTTTGCTTTCATTTTGGCTGGATGCCCGTGAAAGGTTTTCGGGAGCGTTTTACCTATCTGAGCTTCCTGGGGCGCGTCCTCTAAAGTTTTGTACGTGGTGGCACGTTTCTGGCCTTCAGCTGAGGAATGCATGTATGTGTGTGTTGTGAGCAGACAGAGTGCTGGTGCTGGTCTGCAGAGGGAATGAGGCAGACGAAAAGCGAAGAGTCTGCAGAGGGAATGAGGCAGACGGAGCCGAGAGCAGACAGAGTGCTGGTGCTGGTCTGCAGAGGGAATGAGGCAGACGGAAAGCGAAGAGTCTGCAGAGGGAATGAGGCAGACGGAAAGCGAAAGAGTCTGCAGAGGGAATGAGGCAGACGGAGAGCGAAGAGTCTGCAGAGGGAATGAGGCAGACGGAGAGCGAAGAGAAACCCGAGAGCAGACAGAGTGCTCCACACGTGATCGAGAAAAGAGTGCTGGTGCTGGTCTGCAGAGGGAATGAGGCAGACGGAGAGCGAAGAGTCTGCAGAGGGAATGAGGCAGACGGAGAGCGAAGAGAAACCCGAGAGCAGACAGAGTGCTCCACACGTGATCGAGAAAAGGCGGAGCGGCGGCGGAGCGGAAACATGCCCAGAAGCAATGAGGTGCTGCAGACAGACGGAGAGGGCAGAGAACGAACCGAGAGCAGACAGAGTGCTGGTGCTGGTCTGCAGAGGGAATGAGGCAGACGGAGAGCGAAGAGTCTGCAGAGGGAATGAGGCAGACGGAGCCGAGAGCAGACAGAGTGCTGGTGCTGGTCTGCAGAGGGAATGAGGCAGACGGAGAGCGAAGAGTCTGCAGGTAGGTAGGTAGGAAAGATGCAGGCACTGGTAGAAGTGAGAGGTGTGGGGGGGAGCGCGACGTGCGAATCGAATTTTAGGGCTTTGAACGGAGACTATATTTGTGTTCCGAGACGAAGAGGCAGACAGAGTGCTGGGCGTGCAGAAATGAGGTGCTGCAGACAGACGGAGAGGGCAGAGAACGAACCGAGAGCAGACAGAGTGCTGGTGCTCGTCTGCAGAGGGAATGAGGCAGACGGAGAGCGAAGAGTCTGCAGAGGGAATGAGGCAGACGGAGAGCGAAGAGAAACCCGAGAGCAGACAGAGTGCTCCACACGTGATCGAGAAAAGGCGGAGCGGCGGCGGAGCGGAAACATGCCCAGAAGCGGAAAGACAGAATGAACTCTAAATCCAAGTGAAAAATGGTGGGAGAAATGCTGGTCTGTCAGGGCTCGAGAAAAGCGATCTTTGAACGGAGAGCGGCCCGCTGGAAATGCGAAATACTCGAAAGTTACGCCGAACACAAATGATAGAACTGTTATTCGCCGAAAGACTTACCCATTCTCGAGATATAACCACAACAGCAGTCGAAGGGGATGTGTTCAAAGTCTTAACAGCAGTAATTGGATTTTTCTAAGATAACAAAAAACAAGAGAGTCCGTGCGAGCAGCAGAGACTCACCTCCCCCGCCGCGTTGACGATTCCCTGGTCGGTGAACTCCGCGAGCTCTTCGTCTTCCAAGGCTCCCGGGCGGAGCGGTAGGAAGTTGAGTTCGCACATGCGCTCGCACTCCGACTAGAGTCCGAATTCAACCGAAAAAAAAAAAAATCGAGTTCACAGCAGCGGCGGAAGGGAGGGTGTTGGGACACGGGTGAGCATGCAAGGCAGCAGCACCAATAGGTGGCGAAAGACATCAAACACTTCGAACTGATTTTCAGAGGTCGATTCCTCCACAGCAGAGGAGCGTGGCGGTGCGGACACAATTATGGCGGCGTCGGAACTGTCTCGTCGAGAGCTTTCCGAAAAGGTACGTATCGTTTGGTTGTATACATCCTCCTCTTCGTGGTCAAGAAGTCGAGCTTTGAAAATCGGCCCAGGGGGTGCGATATCTTACGTCATGTGACCTACGGTACCGTATATGACACACAAGATAACACACACCCTGGACCGATTTTCAAAGCTCGATTACTGCACTACGAAGAGGATCCATAGACGAAAGGATACGTTTTCAGAGAGCTCTCGACCAGACGGCTTCAACGCCGCCATTTTCGGCCCTGCGACTGTTGCTGCTGTTGAAAAATCGAGCTTTGAAAATCGGCCCAGGGGGTGTGTTATCTTGTGTCATATACGGATTCATCTTCATGCAGAACCGAAGGCCGCCTCAAGCCCCCGGTTAAATACTCGCGGCACGGCAAGCGTTCTTCCCAGGCGTGAATCGCCGTGAGGTGTCTACTAAGCGAGAACCACAGGTTCCACACGACACCGCACACCGTTGGGATCGATTGTCAAAGCTCGCCTAATAGCAACAACAGCGGCGACGGTGTCGAGAACGGCGGCGTTGGGAAATGGCTCGTCGAGAGACGTCCCGAAAACCCTGTCATTTGATTGTTGCATCCTCGTCGTGGTGGAGTAATCGAGCTTTGAAAATCGGTTCAGGGGGGGTGGTGTCTTCGGCGAACGTGGATCTGTCCATCTGTACCGCGGGCAATCCGGCTTTTTCCCGTGGGACTATCGCGTCAAACCGATTCTGGTTCGTAAAACAGACTCGGTTATCCTCCTTCCCGCTATTACTTTGTACGATACCATGAATTTTTACCCGCGGCGGTATGCATTTTGCGGAAGCCGCATCATTGCGCAGCCCTCCGGGAGAACGAACGACTTTGCCAGACTGCCTACCGGTGTGACTGCTATTACTATCTGGTAGGTACGGAGCAGAAAAAAAAAACGGTATTCCACATCGTTGAGACAATGAGGGCATCAACAGATCAACAGTACCTTGAAAAAATAGAAGTTACCTGTTGCCGGGAAGTGGCGGTGCTGATCCCGTCTGTTTCCGTGGAAGGGTACGAGTACGCCTCCTCGGAATCCTCCCCTGCAAACCCCAAAAACACGGCCATTTTTTTTTCCATTTACCGGAGTCCGAGCCGGCTATCACGGTGCTGTTGGTTTACAAGCACGAGCTGCCGCCGCTGGCGCTGCGGAAGCGCTGGTGGTTTGCCCGTCCGTCGCTGTAAGCGAGAGCTGCTGGGAATAATTCGGAACAATTCGAACGCACGAAAAGAGGACCAGCAGCAGCAGGAACGAAGGCTCCTCGTTGGGCATTGAAAACGTGTGAGAACAGCTACAGCAGTAGTTGGGGGAACGTACATTCTTAAGACACACGAACCTGCTGTGTGAAAAGCGTCGGGGTTCTGACCGCTGAGTTGTAGGCGGCTTTTGTTTTTGGCCTCCTCCTAGCTACAACAGAGACGGACCTTGGATGACAAGGGCTCCGACGTCGCCTTGCATGTGCGCACGCAATCTAGAAGAAGGCACACGCACACGGCGGCAAGGTGATACACACAGCAACGAGGAAAACATGCGATCTTTCTGCAGACAAAGCAATCGGAACTGCTCACAGGAGTAGAGATATCTAAGGGTTCAGCACCGATGCTGCACACTTGAGTGACTCGACGTCGGATTAACTTTGTTCCTATTTTAGTCTAATACAAGTTGTCTACAGCAGTAACACAAAACGATCGACGACACATACCGACTCAACTGCATACTGTACATTATCCAAGATGGGTCCCACCAGCAGCGGCATTCAAACCATTGAAACCACACTTCAGTGGCGGACAGACGCAAGCACGACCAGCACGCCCCTACCGGCTGTGCGCGTGCATGGTGACGGTGCAGGAAAGGTCCGCGTTGATCCGGCGTGGTAGCATAGCAGCACTGGATGGTGATGTCTGCCCTATTGTGTACGTATCTCCTTCCGAGCTCGGATTTCGAAAACCGCTACAAACTACGGCTGCTGCTGCTGCCTGTGGCGGCTGTGGAACAACAAGTTCTTCCCTATTTCTCCTTCTCAGCTTCACTGCTGTCGTTCAAACTGATAACTGCTGTGTCCAATGCACTACGTAGATCACTGACCTGTCTGGCTATATCCTCTCCGAACCGCAGGCGCCAGTGTACACCGGCTTGGTCTCGGGAACGCGCAGAACGTGCAGCAGTGGGGCAGATTGAAATCTTGCTCTGAACTCTGCTGTCTGAACGTCTCGGTGGATGGGTCAGAGATTAAGCAAACAAAATCTCTCCCTACTGGGCAAAACTCCTGAGCGCGGAGAATGACGCGTCTCTCCGCAGCAGATCTTGGGGAGTGGGTTCACATGTGGTGTGTGAGTGCTAGTGGCTCGCAACAACCGGCCAGCCGTGATACAGATTTTAGACAGATGTATTGTATTATACAAGTAGTCATCCATAGCATAGGACATCATCCGACGACGGGGGGCTCGCCGGTTGGGATGGCGTTGAATCCACGGAGCCCCCCGCGTCAAGGTCAGCGTCGCATTTTGATTTTTCGCTCCGCACTCCTTGTGCCTCTATCACCGCTGCCTGCCAAAATACACGAGCGGCTTCAGGTAACGGACACCCTTCTTGACCTTCAGGTGCGTCGCGTGCGTTTGTTGCTGCCGGTACACACGGAGGAAGGCTCCCCCCGGCACATTGGTTTGAATTCGCGGCTCAGCAAGAAGAAACAGATAGAGGCAGCAGCGGACACGATGCCAGAAGAAGACAGACCCTAAAAAAACCACCCCGTCGTCGATTTCTGGTAAAAACATCAAAGGGGGTTGGCAAAGGGGCCAAACCCCACTGCGAGACGTGGATACGCGATGGCAAGCAGTAGCAGCGTTTCAGGGGCAGCGTGGTGAAAGATAGTGAACCTGGTTCAGCAGTTAAGCAGTTACATATACCACGCGGGGCAACTTCGAAGTTCAAAGGCATGGATGATTGTTGGCAGTTGTTTGGCTAGTTGTTTGGTGGGTCGATAATGCCGCTCAGAAGATGGCAGTGACACAAACGCAACCCATTCACTTGTTCTTAGTGTGGCCACGGATTATGATTTGCCGGATCCCGGAGAGATAAACCGCCGATTCCTTCCCCTTTCCTACGCTGAGATACGGGCTGCGCATGGAACGAAAAATATATGTGTGTCATTCATCGCGAAACGAAGCGGATAGGAAGAGAGCAGCGTCACAGCAGGATTCGGCAGGAAACATGCATGCGCACATTTCCCCGAGTCACACACTTTCACAAAAAGAAGAGCAGGAAAATGACGTCGTTTTTTTGTAAACGGTCGTGTTTGTTCCGAAGTGCCAAACGTCTACATATTGTACCTAAGCCGAGCACACCGCATTTCGGTTTCGCTTCAACTCACCTGTGGTGTAACAGCTCTGCGCTCGCATTATACTTGGTAAACATAGCTCACAGAAAGACTAGCCGTTCGAGATATATACCTCAGTCGAAAGGGGTGCGCTTAAGTCTTTTTTGTGAGTGGAGGGAAACCGGCTGGAAACTGGGCTTATTTTTATGTCTTCACAGGTAGATGTGCGCACGAGACGGCTGTTGTATGCAGTATGCAGGCGTCCTCCACATACCGGTTCGCCCCGGTGAGATGTCGAGACCCGCCCGTTCACGACATTCTTGGAAAAGTTCCATCGACGCGGTATCATACAAGATTGATGCAGAGGGACCCTCTGTGTAGTAACCGTGTGCTTCAGTTCTTGAGATGCGCGCGGTAACCGTCCTTTAAAGGAAATAGATTTGGCACGCTTTTGCCTCCGGTTCCCCCCCCCCTGTTGAGCATGGCAGAATCGGGAAGAGCTCGAGAACATGACGAGGAGGAATGATTGTTGAACGATTCTCTGCAGACGTGCGTCGTCAAATGCGAAACTTCTCACGACAAGCGCCAACTGAGTTGTACCCCCCCCTCCCGTTCCCCTCGCAGCCTCCGGAGATGCTTTCGCTTTGGCGTCTGGCATGATAGGGACAGGCTAGGGCGGTAGGGCAACCGGCGTTGCTTTCCTACGCGCTACCAACGTTTGGTTTGTTCATTGGCGCGGTCAACAATTTCATCGACAGCAGTAGTCGAAAGCACGGCAATCGGGCGGCTACCAAACCAGTGGCAATCAATCAGCAGACACCCGAAGAGGAACGCCTAAACATGATGGTGCTTGCTGAAGAGGACAACCTCGTTGCCCGAACGGCTGCGTGCGGGAGCGGCGGGGGTGGGGGTGGGAGAACAGAGTGCTTCGAGCCCGCCTTGCTCCCAGCATCACCGGATGGCGGCGATATATGGGTGAGAGACGTGTGGCAGTAGCGGCCACATCGTTCGTTTTCCGATGTTGGTCCAGACCCGGTCACGCACATCGTTTATTTTGTTGATCTTTACGCCGTGCTTGATGAGCAGCGATTTGTTCAAGAGTCTAGTCGAGGACAGCTTCCATTCCTATCTGAGCCCCTCCCCCCGCACAGAC